ATGTGGTCTGTCATGGACCGAAATGTCATTATGTGGTGCATGACTCTAACTGGGCTAAGAGACAATATCATCTCTGCTCTGACTCTCTCTCGAGGCACCAATATAAATATTGAATTTCCTTCACTGCATAAACCATTTGTTCGTTCCTTTACCCTCAGTTACCATTCCTCCTCCACGATTATTTTATTTTTACCAAACTTTTCCACTTTGTCTGAAAAGGACGTTAGTTTCAGCCACTGTGCTGGTCTCAACTGCCAGCAGCAATACTGTCTGGCAAGGCCTGGCCCTCCATCCACTCCCGTGCATGTAGGGTAGGGTTACACAGGTGCAGCGCCAGTGGGCTTTCTTGACCACTAGGCAACATGGCTGCAGTCGCTTTTAACCTCAATTTTGCCAGATGAGATAAGGGCCCAGCTCACCACAGGCCCTTAGGAATTCTGACATAAAGATTTAAAAATATACTGACAGTTTCCTGCTTAGGGGTCATCCCTGCTACTGTCACCTGTGCTTGTTGCCCTGGTCCCAGGACCACTGCATCAGGCAGGAAAAAGAAAGTGGAGGTGATGTGGGGGACAATTGTAGAGTAATAGCATCCCTTCCCACCCCGTTCCCCAGATCCCACAGGAAAGTGGAGGAATCTCCCAGTAGGGGTACTCTGCCTCTTTCATGTTGAGCGTGAGCACACACTCATGAAAGGTGTGTAAGCTAGCCCTTCATGCCTTAATCTTTGCCTGTTCCAATTATCTATTAAACTATTTCTCAGCATGAAAGTGTGTTTCTTGATCTGAAGAAATATGACTCAGTGGTCCAAACTGGTACAATACCTTCTATTCCAGTCCTTTTGTAGTATTTTTAGGATTTGTCTCTACCACCGGCTACACAGAACTCAATCCAGAGTAAGTGTCTATTTCTGCCAGGACCCATCTGAGCCTCCAGGGGCTACCAGCATCAGCCCAGCCTGACAGATTTGCCCAGGGCCTTCCCCTGGAGACTCTGCCCCAGAGCCACCTGCAGCCTGTCTTTCTCTTGAACAGATCACCCAGTTGGCATTTTGTGCCTCATAGCGTGCAAAGGATATGTCTAGATTCAGCCCATCTCTGCATCGCTGTTGTACCCACATGCCCACTTATTTCATGAACCTTAATCACCGTAATCCCACCAACGAGTTCATTCCCATATCCTTCCAATCTAACTGTAGCCCCTGTTAAGACTTCACCAACAAGCTTTGGCATTAGGGTGCACGGGTCTCCCATGTCAAGGAGTCCTAGAAACACGTCTCCTCCACTCCTTGAACATTTTACTCACTCATGTGCACATCCCCTTAGGTCCCTAGCTGGGGGTTGGGTCAAGGGACCTAGGCCCTCTTGTCAATGCTTATTTTGATTAGATTGTGGGATCATCATCTCAGGCAATTCCAGTTCAGGTTTCTCATTGTCATCTTTGCCTTCCACCTTTTAAGATTCCTCCAAACAGGGTGAACAAAGCAGATTTATTTAATGCCCTTCAATGTAGGGGGACCATCAGAGGCTCCCATCTATCCATCCAACTTCTGAGAGCACTGCAGTAAGATCTTTATTTTGATCCCAATCAATATCCACTTTATTTATCCAATAATAACTGTTTAAACATTTCTGCCTAACTTGCATGGGTCTCTCAGCTCTCCCCTGTATTTCTTCCCCATTCTCTTGCAAATATTAGCTATTAGTGGCTTCAGCTTAACTCTTCCCTTTGGTGGTAGCCCAAAACAGCCTGAATTGAAGCTTGTCTCAGCTTCAAGATCCACCCCAACACTCCCCCTTTCATTTTGGTTATCACAGATAACAACCACCAAAGATTGATATTAGCTGGTTTCTTGTTACTTTGCATTTTCTTACACATCCACTGAGCCAACTCCTTAGGAGTTGGAGCCATCATCCCTAAATTCCTTTGGTAACTTTTACCTCCAATCACTAATTGCAGCACAGCTCCGGTGCTATCCCATAGATGATCTTGTGGCCACCCAGGAATCAAAGGTTCATCGTCCTCCACCCTGCCCTCCTTCCTCTTCTTGAACCATATGTTTCAGTGTGTCAGGGTTGGGCTAGTGAATTCCGCTTCTGACACTAACTGTGGAGCATGCAGGTCAACTGGGAAGTTAGAGGGAACAGTCTCCAAGACCATTCTTACTTCTGACAAAAATTGCAAGGTCAAGGGCCCCCAAGATAACCCATAGGTTCGATAATTCACCAGGAGGGCTCACAGAACTTACTGAAAGGTGTTACTCACAGTTGCAGTCTTTTTTACAGGGAAAGGATACAAATTAAAATTAGACAAGGGAAGAGAGTGTAAGGTGAAGTCAAGAGGAGTATCTAAGACAGAGTTTCTGTTGTCCTCTCATGGAGTCAGGACATGTTACATTTCTTGCATCAACGTGTGACAATATGCACAGAGTATTGACAACCAGGGAAGTGCACCTGAGCCTCAGTGTTCAGAGTTTTTATTGTGCTTTGGGTGCATTAGATGTCCCCACCCACACATCCAAATGCCATCATCCCCTCTCCACATGCCTCTTCTCTTGGCCCTAACGGTGCACACTGCAGGCATGAGCTGCCCTTATGGAGACTCAGGGAGAGAGGCTTATATATGCACTAAAAGTGGGTTTAGAGCAGTTTGAGCAAGACATTCAGACATCTTAGGATTTGGAACACGGTCTAGAAGAGGGGAGCAAGCTTTGGATGAACATGACCTCTTGGTTCTAGAATTGTCCTCCATGGGGGATGGGCACAGCCAAAAAGGGAATAGCATGCCTGCAGTTGGAATAGATCCTGTTATTTAGTTAATCTTTTTTTTTTTTTTTTCCTGCTTTTATCTCCTCAAACCCTCCCCGTACATAGTTGTATATCTTAGTTGCAGGTCCTTCTAGTTGTGGGATGTGGGACGCCGCCTCAACGTGGCCTGACAAGTGGTGCCATGTCCACGCCCAGGATCTGAACCCTGGACCACTGCAGCGGAGTGCGCGAACTTAACCACTCGGCCTCAGGGCCGGCCCCTTAGCTAATCTTATAACCCTTATCAAAGTTTTAACCAGATTTCCTTCTTTTATCACCATAACTATACTATTACCTCAGATTTCAACTTTCCAGGCCCTAGATGATCCAAAAGGTCTGCAAAAGCATGTTACATCTATAAGCCTAGATGCAGAATCCCAGCCACAGAAAGGCTTTGACCTTCCTTTCTTGCCAGCTTCTCAAGAAGTCAGAACATGAGGCTAGGGGATTGGGAGGACTCTCAAAGGCTCAATTGCTACAGCAGATCACCTGTGGACAATCTTTGTGTCTGGACCTGCGGCTGTGTGGGCCACTCAGCAAGTTTGCCTGAACTCTCACATTTTCCATACTCTGCTTTGGGAAATGACCAGAACTGTGGATAGTCCTACCAAAGACACCAACATCACCACCAGAGAACTAGAGAAGTCCAGCAAATGGTCCTCAACAATTGTCTGGCATTGGAAATGATCCTAGCTTCCCAAGGGGGCACTTTTGCAGTGGTTAGAAGAAACTGCTTTGCACATGTTCCCATAAATGTCTATGCCACCATCAAAAATATTCACTACAAACTGGGAAATCCATCAAATTGCCATTGTCATCCTCACTCTGCCATTTAAGTGTGCTTCAAGCCCAACATCTCAGAGCGTTCTCAACCAGCTCCCTTCAAGCTTCAAATTGTGGCTTTACTCCCCAATTTAACCTTTAATAATTAATCTTCTTACTATATTCCTGAGTATAACTCTTGTTAAGCCCCTGATCTCCAAGAGCCTCAACACCTGTCCGTCTGGGAACACGCTCAGCAAACGATACAGCTAGTCCTTCAGGGCCAGCGAGAATGTGGAAGCCAGTCCACCCCTGACAACTAATGGAACCAACATCATCCTCACAATACCATCGGACCAGAGAGTTCGTCCGTATGAAACAACAGAGGCAATGACCAAGTGTTCATAATTGTCCATTTGTTACCCTTGATCTTGCTTCACCAAACTTTGGTCAAGCTCTCCTCCACCCAGGGCCCATAAATGTTGGATTGCCCCAAGTTTAAACAAGCACCAGGTGAACATTGTCCCCCTAAGAGCTCTGTCTAAGAATATGCTGACAACACAGAAAAACATTCCTGTTGCAAAACAATCTGCCTTTGCACCTGCCCACCCCCACCCTCCTTCTCTCCTCCCTCACAAGTTCCTGCCAGCCCTGCTCACTCCCCCTAGAAAAGAAAGCCTATTCTGTCTGATTTTGGATGTTTACAGATTTCAGAGAACAGAGCATTCTGCCTATTGCAATAGTCTCTGTAATTAAAGTTGCTCTGTATCTAAGTCTGGATGTGTTTTTATTCATCAGTTGGGTCCCACAGACAAGGACGTTAGGTAATTTCCCATGTAGATGAGCACCATCTGGACGTGAAGATGTTCAGTGTCAGAGTCTGGCTTCCGGTCGCGGGGCAGCAGGTGACCGCGTTGGCTGTGACTACAGACCGCAGTGGGCCAGGCAGAGCGGGCATGGTGCATGGGTGTGGGCGGGCGCCTGGACAAGGACGTGGTCTCTTTCAGAACCGCCATATTGCCCACCCCAACCTCCCCGCCCCCTTTCCTGCTGCCAATTCACAATGGAGTTTGCAACCTCACCAGGGCCAGCTCCATCCACTGCCCTGAGCCTTGCTCCCAGGCTCCTTCCCACTCTTCCCGACCCGTCCCCTGCTGTGGTCAGTGGCTGGAGGCCAGTATGGACGTCACTGGCATAACACTATGCTGCTTGGGGGGCTGGGTGGGGTTTGTGCCAGGAGACATTGATCCCTGAAGGCAGCCACAGGGCAGGTTCCGACTGGTCCTCAGATCTGCCAGGACCCATCCATCAGCTGGGATACTGCGACCTTCAGCCCTGCCTGGGGGTGACAGCCTCCCCAGGACCCACTGGCATTGCCTAGAAGGGGATCCGCTGCCACCCTCCTCCCTCAGTGCCCCTCCCAGCTTTTCAGTCAATCGCCATAACATGGCCGATGCTCTGCGGATTTCCAAGCTCCTCAGCAGCAGCTGCTGGAGCACCAGGGGCTGCAGCTATCTGGTCAGTCCAGAGCTCCTGAACAGTCTGACCACAGCGACCGCTGTTCCAAGGACACGAGGAAGAAAAGGGCTATCCTTCCTGACATTTAGAGGGCCAGGCCATTATGCGATTCCTTCTTTTCCTTTCCAGTTTTGGGAGGTCATCAGTGATGAGCATGGGATCGACCCCACTGGCAGTTACCATGGAGACAGTGACTTGCAGCTGGAGAGAATCAATGTGTACTACAACGAAGCCGCTGGTGACTATTTGAATGTTTTTGCCCAGTCACCCTTGCTTTCCATACTGCTATGTGGCAGACACAATGTACTAGGAACACACAAATGACGAAGAAATGCTTCTTGTGTTCATTTTAAATGTCAGCTGCTAAAAAATACACTTTATAGTTCCTTCAGACTCCTGCATGTTTGCCATGACTAAGCATGCTCATTACCTCTGTTTTTCCAGAGCAGAAAAGCTCCTCTCTTCTTTCACTTTTGTCTCAGATACTGGGATTTTCTCTAATGGATTCTGCAGTGAGAGTCGCAGAGAGCACAACCTTGTCTGTGATCTCTTGCCAACTCCCTTAAGTCTGGCTCTTTTCCCCACAGGTAACAAGTACGTCCCTCGGGCCATCCTGGTGGATCTGGAGCCGGGCACCATGGACTCGGTCAGGTCTGGACCATTCGGCCAGATCTTCAGGCCAGACAACTTTGTGTTCGGTATGTAATCACGGTCAGTGGGCACTGGCTGCGTGAGTCTCCTTCCTCCTGACACTGTGGAGATCACGGCTCTTAGTGTTGAATGCCGAGGTGGAGACCGTGTGTCCACAGACGACAGCCCTGAGTCCTGGCCTAATGCCACCCAGTTCACAGTGGCCACTTCTCTGGTCACTGTCTGGACAGCTCAGAGAACAGTGCCAGCCTGCAGAGGGCTGCTGTAGCCCTCCCACCACAGAGCAGCCTGTGAAGGGCTAGGAACAGAGAGCAACGCAAAGGCTTCCAACAGGAGTGAATAGGCTACTGGTGATCTCAGAGGACCGGTGACAACCAGTAAGCAGTTCAAGAAGCAAAGGCCAAAGGCCGGGTTTGGGCCAGAAGTTGAGACAGCTGACTTGTCCTCTGATCACATTTGCCTTCGCCCCTGCCTAATTGTCCCTAATTTAAGAATACTGAACGCAGACCTGCACAAACTGGTCGTGAACATGGTGCCCTTCCCCAGCGCCAGGCCCTGAGGGGCCCGAGCTCACCTCGTAGATAGAATGGCCTTCCCTACTGCCCAAATGCTAACAGCAGAGCGACAGGAAGGGTGAGACGGTTCTTTGCAGCCCCACAAAGAAGCAGGACAGCGTCATATGAGTCACCAGTATGATGAGGCTGCCCAGAAGCTGACGTGGTCAGAGCTGCATTTATTATAGCTCTCAATCAAGAACAACCCAACTAGTTCTGAATCCAATGCCTGCTACATCATAAAGGACTCAAAATTATGTGTTTTTTTGGGGGGGGGGTGTCCAGGAAGAGACTGGAAATGTTTAGTTAGTGAAGAGAACACTTGGGAGCATGAAAATTGCAGGTATCTGAAAAGTATGGAGATGTCGTCAGCTAAGGAGCCAAACTAGGACGAGTGCTAAACAGTATGTGTGCACAGATGTGGAGGAACTTCCTAACAAGTGTCTGGGAGCAGACACCGTTGGTACCGGCCTGTGTTCCTCTGACACTCACTCTTCCCAGACCCCCTACGGCAAGTCCTGCCTGAACCTCCTTTTTGGAAGGAGGACCTATTCAATGACGGACTGGAGCTGAATATCTCAGCTTCCCTGCCTCTCCGTGGAACGGCTCCGATGACAGTCTTCCTCATCGCTTCCAGATTTCCCAGCGTGGAGCCCTGTGCCCACAGCAGTGACCTGCTCACCAATGCAGCCTCTTGACTTCCTTCTCTTTCCCAGCTCAGTTCCCCACTACTCTCCTGCTGCTTCCCTGTTTAGCCCCTAATAAACTTCCACTCCAATCCCTGTCTCAGGTCTGCTTCTGGAGACCCATCTAAGACACTCACCAAAGAGGAGATGAGGTAGTCGTTTTCTATTGCTGTGTAACAAGTTAACGCGAACTCAGCGGCTTAGCACATCACAAGCATCTTACGGTTCCCGTGGTCAAGAATCTGGCAAGGCAGGTCCTCTGCTCGGGGCCTCACAAGGCTGACCCTCCCAGGCTGCTCCAGCTGGAGTGCAAGGTCCCCTTCCACACCCCTCAGGTGGTGGGCAGAATCTAAATCCTCACCGTCGTTGGTCTGAGGACCCTGTTTGCTTGCTGACTGTTGATCAGAGGCTGTTGTCTGCTTCTAGAGGCCGCCTGCCATTCCCTGCCGCGTGGTCCTCTTCACAATATGGTAGCCGCTCCTGCAAGGCCAGCAGGCGAGTGTCTCCACTGCTTTCAAATTCTGGGGTCCTCTTCCGCCACCAGCTGGAGAAAAATCTCTGCTTTGAAAGGGCTCATGTGATTAGCGATGACCCAGATCATCTCCCTATTTTAAGGTCAACGGATTTGGGACCTTAATTACACCTGGAAAACCTCATTACAGCAGTACCTAGATTAGTGTTCGATTGAACAACCGGGAAAAGATGTGCACACACCAGGCCCAGGTGAGTCTCAGGGCCATCTTCGAATCCGGCCTGCCTGCCACAGATGGATAGTTTGGGGAGTGGGAAGAACATGGTCCTTGGAACATCCGGTTCCAATACCTGACACCGTGTTCACACAGTAAGTGATTGTCTACTTACTAGTTGTATGGCTCTGGGCAAGCATTTTAATTTCTCTGAGCCTTAGCTTCTCATTCCAGAAATTGGTGATAATAGTACCTGCTTCAGAGAATCATTGTAAGGATGAAATCAAATAAGATATGTAAAGTCCTTGTCACGAAATAGTGCGACAATCAGCGCTGTAGTGAGCACCCCATGAAGGAAAGCGTTCAAGTACAGGCTCTATGACATCTTGTCGGGAATTCTCACGGCGGGACCAAGATAGATCCATTTTGGAATATCTTTTAATTTTGGAATATATGATTTTCAGGTCCCTTTGACCACAGAAGTCTATGGTTCTACGTGAACATTCTTGGAAGAATTAATATCCTTACTCATCAGAATAAGGCCCTACTTGATTGGTGTTAGATTATTTCCTTGGTACAGACTTTTATAAGCAGCTGGAGCCCATGCGCTCAAACTGGGAAAAAGAATCAAAAATGAAACTTAGCCACCCTTACAATTTCACTTAGGACTAGTTCAAGCTCAGGAAGGTAAATTTGCAATTGCAGGCAGCTTTCTGGGGCAGCCTACAGGGCAGAGGTCCCGTTCTCGCTCCCTCTGACTTGTGCTTCCTGGTTACCTTGTCTTGCTTTCCCATCACTTCCTTCAGCCCAGATGCAATATTGGATGGCAGGTTCTGGTCCTGGCATTAATCTCCCGTCAGACTTGACACTCATTTGTTGACTCAGCTCCTGAAGTTGCTGAGTCGCTTTCCTGCCTCACTTTTCCCCGACTCAGCCTGTGCTCTCCCCACTAGGGATGGCCTCAGCCCGTGCCTGCTTTTCAGCTTCACTTTTCCAGCATCAGTACCGGTATCTCCCTGGGATCCATATGCTTCATTAATCACAAAACTATCCAACCTTAAAAGTCATCTGTGAATCAGGACAGTATACAAGTATTCCATGAGTTAACAAAAATTTGACTTTGAAACACTGTATACACAGAAACTTCTCATTGTACATTGCTCATCTATCCTATCATTCACCAAAAGGCCTAACTCTACCCTCTTCCCTCAAACAGGTACGGCAACCAAGCTGTCCTTGGCCAGTGCGCCCCCTTCTGGCCAACGAGGGAAAATGACTGACCCAAGATGTCTCCTCACCACCTCCCTGGCTTCCCCGCATCTCAAACATCTTCTGAGGTCTCGACAACTAGTAAGGACTGTGCCAGCCAAGCCTGATAGTAAAATTTCCCTTGCTGATGAGAGGAGAGGAGTGGAAGTAACAAATATTCCTAACCCAGAAAAGAAGGACATTGGCAGCATGTCACACAAGCAAAATTTGGTATAATTAAACAACAAATTTAACAAAATTCATCCACCACATATTTGAAATGATGCCTATTACTATTTCTGCACTACATGACAATTAGGCATAAATAATAACTGACTATACATAAGTAGCAGTATTTCTACATAGTCAAATGAAGTATTTCTGGGATCTAGTTGGGAACAAAGGAGGGAGCCATAAGAACAGGAAACAATTTGGGGCTTTCTCTGAGGACTCCTGGTGGCACAACTGAGGCCCCAGGAGACTGGCTTTTTACATATCTTAAATGCTCTAGGCCCAATGAACACTTTTAAAACAGTACCTCAATATTATTTTATAGCTAAAAAAGGGCACTTCACATTTCGAGCGCATTTTTCCCTAGGTATTTTATGAGGCTCGTGGTGGTTGCTCGTTGCACCGCTGCAAAGACCGTCCTCAGGAGAGCTGCGCAGGCCGCGCTGGCGCGGGGGCAGGCACGGGGACACGTCGTGCCACAGGCTCACACGCGGGCAGCCGGGACGGGGCACTGCCAGGGCACCGAGCCCCTCCCGGGAGAGCGGAGCGGGGCGAGGGGGCGACAGAGGAGAGGAGGGCTGAGCTGCCGGGCCGGGACCACCCGGGCGCGCCCCCGCTCCCGCCGCGCCCATTGCGAGCCTCTCGGCAGCACACTTTCAGCAGAGGCAGAGTCATCCTGCTCCGCGCATCTACCCGGCTTCGTCTCCACCCGGAGGAAACGCTGACGGCAAACCTTCCGCGATTGCTCCTTGCCGTGAAAGTGAACGAGAAGGAACCTCGAGGTCCGAGCTTCCGAGACAAGGAGCAGCACCTCTTCTGCACCAGGGCTGGCCCCGCTCAAATTCTTTGGCAACTCAGATTTTTGTGAGAAAAGTGTGTATTCAGAAAATAGGTGGCGAGGGAGGCAGAATGTCAGAAATCGGGGGCCACAGGCTGTCGGTTCCACGGCTCCTCCAGGGGCCAGTCCAGGCCTGTGCCCTGCCCCGGGGCGTGCTCGGCTCAGGACCAGCCTGCGGGGCGTGAGGACCCTCGCTGACCTGCAGACCCTCAGGGTTCGGGTGGGAGGAAGAGCCCCAAACGGGGCCTGCGCTCACGCTTCCAGTTGTGCTGCTTGTTCCTCCCCCGACAGCGCCCTTCCTTGCTGAGGACAACCTCCTGGACTGGAAGTCAGCACGATCATACGGAGGGGTGTACACAATATTATGGGGCACAAAGAAGGGGCATCCCAGAGAAAGGGCATTGGAGCTGAGCTCTAATTTATGGAGAACTCCCAGGAAGGAAGGAAGGAAGGAAGGAAGGATGCAGGAATACCAACTGTGATAGCTAAGATTTATATACCACTTACTATGGGTCAGGTGGGATTCTAAGTACTTTCACACAATAATTCATTTAATCCTTGTAACAACCCCAGGAGGTACATCCTATTGTTATTCCCACTTTACAGATGAGGCAATTGAGGCACAGAGAGGTTAAGTAACTTGCCCCAGGTCACACAGCCAACCACTCTGTCCAGGGCCCCTGCCCTTAACCACTCAGGGACTGTGGGGAAGGGGGCTGAACGAATGAGGGGAAATCCACTCCAGTCATGTGCCAGCCCTGGCCATGCGAAGCGCAGCTTCCTCAAGAATTTGGTATGGCCCAAGCACTCTAGGTTCTGGGGAAATGGTAGCAGTTGGGAGAAGTTTACAGATGTCTGAGAATTTGTGAGCTTATGTCTGATTCAAATCACGGCATAAGAAAGTAGAGTAGTTCTTTATTCCTGATGTGGAAGACAAAAATAATTGAAATTATGTTAAAAAGGAACAAACAGAAACACCCATGAAAACAACCCATGAAAAGGAAAAATAAGGAAGATAACACATCAAACACGAATAGTGGAAAAAATACA